CTACGGCACTAAACTATATTGTCGTTCATCATTTCTGCCACTTGAAAATCTTTCTTTACCCTTGCCCTTACAAATTTACATACAGTTTTTTTTCTCTTGTATTTTTTCTGTTTTTTTTTTTAAACATTGCCCTTACTTTAGTATTACATTAGCTGTGTTGTAAGGACGTTTTACAAACATAAATTTCACGTGAAGGAACACCCAGATGCGAAACAATTTGTGGTCACACAAGTACCTAGTAGTCCCGTGTGGGAATCGGACCCACGACCCCGGACGGAACCCGCCAAAGCAACTGCGCCACGGAGTCTTCTCATAATTATATATATAGACTCTGGTTAAATATCACAATATTCATTGCTTAATGTAAACAACGTGGAACACCCAAATAGTGCTCCGCCGAACAAATCCATATTTCAAGCTAATTACGAAACGTCAAAGAATCTCAATCGATTGTACACGAATCGATCGGTGCCAACCTTTTCCCTGGCGAATAACAATAAATAATGTCGCGCGGCAGGTGAGGAGTGGTCTTTTTGTGCGTTCGTCCGGCCCGGAGCACCAAAAAAACGCACAATCCGCGCCTTGTGATTCTGGTCACTGTTATCTTTTAACAAAATATCGTCCTCTATCGCCGTGGGGTAGCGTGAAATAGTTCATTTGTGTAATCACACAGGGCTGCTGCGACGCTCTAGTTATTACAAAAGACAATCGCCCAACACTAGATACTTTACAGAACCCATAAACACGACCGACATAAAACACAATAACGAATGATCTTGAGAAATGTTAACATACCTGTTGTAGCTAATAAAAACTAAAACAGAATTCGATTACACAAATTGATGAAAAACGAAGAATCCAATCAATTAGTTACTGTGACCGAGCTAGCACAAGATTCTGCCGCAATAGGCACCTCTGTCGGGAGAAAACCGGATGTCAAGAAGTATTCACGTTTTAAGACATGAATACTTGGCACAAGCGTTACCTCACTCATCAGACGAAACGCGAAATTCCACTTCACGCCGGTCTTCTGCGAGACCGTTTTACTTTCCTGGACGAGTCTGCACATTGGAGGGACCGGAAATTGATGCGTGGTCCTAACTCCAAATGAAAGAGTACAACAATTTTTATCGAGGAATATATAACACAGATCTCGACGTCTGCTTCCAAGCCATTTTCCATTGGTGTAAGATGAAAGGATCGCGGAATATTATTTCATGACCCCTGCTTACCTGAAATGTTCCAAGAGTTCGCGGAAAATTATTCCGTGAACCGTGCGTACCTGACCTCATTAATTGTCGACAGTCGATACCAGCAAAATACCCAAAAATGTTGTAAAATAAACAAGGAACAAGACCACCGTTAAGTTACCATTCCAGATTCGGTGGTAATACAACTCTAGTGATGTCCGTATCAGGTACGAGTGGTTTTTTAGCGATTTTTTTTTGGTAGCGACGCGGACGCGAGGTCGTTAAGTGAAAAAGGACCCGTTTCGGCGCTTTTGTGCCCAGAAATCGGGACGGTAGCCGAGTAGCGGCGCAACATATTATCGGACTAATTAATCGTCGTGTTTTTTCGGCGACGCACTCCGGAGAAATGACTAAAGTGGAGGCTTCGCTGGTCTGCTCGACGCCAGCGATCGATTTAAATTGCAATTAAAAAAAGCACCAATAAAATCGCCTAAACATAATCCGAAATAGAGAAAATTCCGTCTGAGCACAGCCTTAAAGCTCACCAATAGCCTGGTCCTGCCCTTAGCGCAAACATGCGAACGAAAACTCCGTTCAAAGCATCCTTATATTCCATAGTTATCTAAATCACCCTCACTTCTAGCAATCGAAACAATACCTTTTATAAAACAGTTCATTACACTCCTTAATACGAAGGGTCAACGAAACTTATTAAACTTATGTTTGAGAACACCTTTGAACTTCACGTAAGCCTGGAGGCATTTCGACACCTTCCTCATATCCAATTGTGAAGGTCCACTGGTGCCTTAGGATCGGATAACTCGATCTCTGCCAACCCCCTCTGGATAACGGCCGTGAATATTTTGTTACGTATATACAAATGCTTAGCAAAAGCATTTGTAGTATGGGTGGTAGGGCCACGCAACAGTGTTCACTGTTGCACGAATGGGCAGGTCCGTCCGTGCAACAGTGTTCACTGTTGCTTGCACGAATGGGCAGGTCCGTCCGGGTTAGTACCAGGATCTCACAGAAGACCGGCGTAAAGTAGAAGTGTTACACTTCTGCGTTTCGTCAGGTGAGAGAGGTAGCCGGGGCCCACAATATTTAAAAGTGGCAACGCATTTGCAACCCTATGGGTGTTGCAAAAGCCCATGGGCGGCGGTTATCACTTAACATCAGGTGAACTGCCAACTCGTTAGCCACTTTATCACATGAAAAAAGCCATAACTCGAGACCTGTATCAAGTAACTGTGGGTGAAATGTCCATGTATTATTTCACACTTCAGGTATAATATAGGTGCATATTGAGGTATATATGTTAAGGTATAATATTTCGGTTATAATGTTTCTGCGAATCTCGTTACATCGCACTCTTTCTTATCTCAGGTATAATACTCGTTTACGTTTTGTATAATTTCCATTTTCTAAACGCGTATGTACATTTTATAATTGCTTTTAAAAACGGCACGATGAGCTGCGATTTAATGAGTTGTCCACCTTAAATACTTTCCTTCTAGGTCTTAGTTATCACATTTGCCTGACGAAATAAAAGTCTTCTATATTCTTCTGTGCGGACAAGTCGTGCCGTTAATTTAATAGCAGAAGCTCTTGTGTAGATAAATCCAGGTAAAGTATTATATTGGTAATAAAAAATCGGTCGGAATGTATCACACATTCAATGAATTATATAACTTATAATTTACTCTAAGTTATAAGGCTTTTTATAGTAAAACCTAAAGGCATGTTGGCCTATACCCGGAAAATACTTTCCTCTCCTTTTATCAAGTTACCCTGAGATAGATGATTAGGAAACCTTACTTGACGCAATGATCTTTGGGGATGGAAATGTCTTTACATCCACCAGCACGTTACCATTTTTCACAATAACATTGAATACTATCAGCATGGCTGCACCTATTAGGGCTAAATTGTTAGAAGTTTACTTACCATTTATCAAAATTTTGGAAGCTGTACCCGAAAACTTGATTGTTTGATTTATCATTAATTTGGTAGTCGTTAAACTGTTAAAATAGTAATAATAATAATAGTCACTTATTACAAACATCATACAGAATTTAAAAATAGGTCTGTATTTAATATAACTCTCTGCACTTTAATCGTCAACTGAGTAGTGAGGTTAGTAGCGCCATCTAGTCGCAGAGTGATGAAACAAAAGTACTTTAGTGCGTTTCATTCCATTTTCCATGCATATTTAACTATAGATGCATAACAAAACATTCAAATGGTAAAATATGGTAACATGTTTCCATATTCACAGCTTAATTGTGTCCATTCGAGCGTTCTAATAATTTATCAATACGTGGTAGGTAACTAAATAATAGGCGAGACATGCGTTTGACTTTTTTACCGCCATTTCTTTTTGTTTTTTTTTTTAACATAATGGTCCCAACTCCTAAGCCGCTGGCACGGCGTTGACAAAACATGATTAATGGCGCCAATAAAAATATTCTCTCATAAAAATTCATTCCCGTTATTAATTCTAAATACGATTTCTCCGGTCTTTTTTTTTTTTATGGAGAAATATGAAGAATGTGGCGGGCGACGCCGGAGGGCCTTTTTGTGTAATTTATATCCAATTCTGTCATTAGCCACACTCGAAGTTGTTCTCGTGAGCTTTTGTCTGTTGTATGTTGTTTGTTTTTAATGTGATGTGTACACATAAGGAAGATAACCTATGAGTAGAGTGTCCTTCGTAATATGAAAAATTGGTAGGTAGTGCTAGATTAGTGTGTCTTGTGTATATAAGGTACCAGTAATGAATTATACTATTAATTCATTACCGGTACCATAGCTACGAGTTAATATTCACTAACATTTCAACTCTGGTGTGTTTATAACCGTCATACTTACCGCTGGACATTTTTTCTACTTATTTCATAAGATTGTCCTTATCTCTACACTCAACAGTTTTTGAGCAACGCCAAATTTTGTTAACATCTTTGTTTCTTCGATTTTTATATTTTTTGAAGATGAATACCAAATTTCCAAAAATATGCTTCGTTGTTAATTGTTACGGAATTATTAAATATAAAGTTAACAGAGCGTCGCATAAAACATAAGAAGCTAGTGAGAGCTGTTGGAATATATCGAACTAGTTGTTATTAAATTGTGCAAAACCTTATTGGAAACACTTACCGACGTTGGAACAAACAAAAGAACTTGGATTTGTTTTTCAATTGTAAATAGTAGGGTAAAATCTCTATATGTGTATTAGTTTTTTTTTTAATTTTTAAGATGACCATCGATGAAGGATTGAAAGAGAAAAGAGAGATTTAAAAAGATGGTTGATTGGTAGGATGGTAAGGTGGATATCACCGTCAATTTACTTCAATAATGTGAATTGTCCCTTAATTGCAAACTGTTCCGTTGCAACTAATCTATTACTAATCTCTTTGGGTCAGTGACAAATCACTACATTATTTACTCTTTAGTAGTTTTTCGTGTAAACACTTCTATATGGGATAAGGAATATAACGTTTACCGACTACGGCTGCATCGCAAGTTACCAACAGATAGGTTAAGCAGTGGGTAGACCAAAAACAAAGACGTTTTTACTGATACAGAATATATTTAAAACATTTGTAGAATGAACAGTGCCGGCCACCAAGCAGCCCAAAACCAAACTTACCGCAGATTTGCCAATTTTTATTGCCAATTTCACAAATACGAGTCCAACAATGTCTCAAATATCCCTCCGGAGATGAACAAAACAATTCAGAGAACAATGAAGATGAGAGTTATGCATCAGTCCCTCCGACACCTAACGCTTCTTCACCACCGAAGCCTCTAAATAGCGTTCCTTTTATCCGACCCTCCATCCCGCCTCGATTTCACATGGGCGAGGTACACCGTCCACACGAAACTGGCCGCGCTGACGAAGACGATGCGATTCCTCTCCGAGACGAAGTAGAAGTTGATAGTCTGCGCGGCGGGCCAGAACAGCGCGCCGATCTTGTACGCGTCCCAGAACTTGAGGCGCACCTCCTCCACGCAGGAGCTCAACGGCCTCATCTCCAATAAGCTCATGCCGAAGAAGAAGTAGGCCATAGCGACCGGCGAGTAAGAGACCTGCTCTATCGCGGCTCTGAAGACGGCGGTCTTAAGAGTTCTCCCCTTGAAGAACCGCCCCGAGTACTTCATCCAGTTGTAGAATAGCGGTGCCATGAAGAAAGTGCCGAAGACTCCGTATCGAGCCGCCCGCGCCCAGTCTGCGTCGGCCAGCGTCGTGCCGTGCTCCAGATACTCCTGCACCACGCTGCAAGTTGGCCAAATCAAAGCGTACGAGACCATTCCGCGTAACAATGGAAACTTCACCGGCAGCCGTATCACTTTCGTCAGAATTCCGCTCATTTTTTTTGACTAATTTCGCTTACTTTTTATTTTGATGCCATTATTGTTACGCGCTTTTCTTGTTGCTGTTTAAATTGTCCTCGCTTTCCTTTACTCTAACTTATTCTTGATTAAGACGAGGAAAATTTTCATACGTCAATTACTTTGGCGTGTCACGGCTGACTGCAAAGAGAATGTAATCACTACGTTTAAGAGACGGGACTTCCATACTAGCCAAAAACATCAGTTTACGCGGCACTCCAATACCAACCATACCACAAAAATACCATAAAGATGTCAAACAACAAGAGTACCAACGTAACGAGACAAATAGTGCTTAACCACGCTAGCTTAGCTTCTTATCGATATCGTTAAAATATATTAGGTAGAAATCGAGGTCCACTAAATTTTTTTTTTTTCTTAATTTTAGGTAAGTATCGAGTCCGTATTTATGTCCAATGTTGATGAGGAGCTATTTGGTACTAATACAAGATTGGACTTAAATTCGGACCCGAAATAAGATAAAAAACGGTTTCTGATAATTCGAATAAAATTTTATTACTGAAATGAAATTTATTTCTTGTCTCTTGATTCTTCAGTCAGCTGTTGTCCTGCTGAACATGAGTTTGGAAATAATTGAAACATAGAATCAAAAAGAAATATGTTTCAAAATCCTGCAAATTTCACCTATTCCCATCCTTGCTCATTTATGTAGGCACACCATTCAAATATGTAAAACTTTGTGCCCCTATTCTTTCACGCAACATTTTATTTCTTATTTTTTTTTTCAATAATAAACATTAACGTAGTTATCGATATGTGGATATTACAGTTGCAGTACATCACTAGCACACAATTTAAATGAGATAAGTTTGTTAATTTTATTTGTTCTTATCCTGCTCTACTTACATATGGCTGCAAAATATCATATTTCAGTGCTTACATTTTCATCTAAGGGAAATCTCGCCATAAACATCCTTTTTTCAAGATTCGAATGACTTGCCATCTTTATATATAATAAACCGTCTTTATGGTGTTTTGAATTAAAAGTACAACTCTGATCACTTCTCACTAGTTTTCGTGAGAAAATTTACTCTAAACAATTTAAATTTACAATAAAATAAGCATTTACATTCAAAATACGCGGTGCAAAATTAAGTTTTGACAAACAACATGGCACTTGGAGAAACATTGAGGGAGAGTCTTGTATTGCAAGAAAGAGAAACCGCATTGAGGGAGAGTGATAGCAATGTCCGCCATTATTTGCCGCGTAAAGTCCATAGAAAAATTTTTTGTTCCTAGTTTCGCCAGACTGGCTGACTGATTTTTCATCACATTCTTCTTCTCTATGCGTCGTTTATTTTTTGATTTTGCTAAACCATAGATAATATCAAACGAATATTTAAAAACGAAGTATTTAGTTTCAGTAGTTAAAACGACGTGTTTAACAACGTCAACAATGGTAAGTCAGCCATTGTGCAAAAAGTTTTTAAATAAACAAGTAAGTAAATAAACAATACGAATATAAAATTTGGTGTTTAATAAAGAGTCCTCTTCAGTTGAATATCTATCTCAATAACTGTCTTCTTTTTCTACTACTTCTCGGAAATATTGTTTAATTCATTCATAACTTTAACAAGTGATTAGTATAGCAGACTCGATTTCTCCAGTCAGCTACCTTTTAAATGCTAAATTTTTTATATTTTCTAAATGCACAGATACGATCTACCGTAACGAAAAAATTATAACATTATCTGTCTATATTAAATGAAACTAGTTTACAGGTTTTATCGTGTTTTTATTAAAGATCCGTAAACTAGTTTTCTCATTTAATAACTATAATATTCGCATAAAATCAAGAAGCCATTCTAAATAAAGTACTGAAATTGATGCCAGAAGGTATCCCCATAAATACTAAATACACAGTGTAAGCTAATAAAAGATGGAAGCCGCAAGATGGAAGTACGTTCATACAAGTGGTTGTTAATAAATGCACCACAACACTCGTCTCACATTGACAGTTATCTCGCGCCGTCAAACAAAATGAACTTATTTGTTGGTTCAACGAAGTCAACATCCCTAAAACCGCCTCGTGGTACGGTTTATAAGCCCCGTGCCGTCACGGTATAGTTTTTTCGTAATGTCATCTTGGAACGACAATAATGTTTCCATGTTTATTTGCGTTCACTGTAAATATGTATTTATAATGTTAATAAGACGCATTCAATAATTTTCATTTATACAAACTTATAATAATTATAATTTGTACCAAGATTAATTTATTATAGATTTATTTAAAAAATATATGATCTAAAAAACTTACCGATATTTTTTGAAAAAAATATAAAATATTTATTAGAGCCTTAGACAAAAACTGAAAAAGTCTATAAAGGTAAAAGAAAGGGATTTGAACAGGGCAGGATGTAGGGCGTTACACAGATGAACTACTGGGATGCTGCACTAACTTAAGGAGAGAGACAAAAACATTCAAATTAATTTGCCGCCGTATATTATGAGGATATAAGGACAACTATTATAGAAATGCTTCAAAATCTCTACTTATTCGAACTGTTTGCATATACCCAGCAATATGATAAAGGCATTCAGTTCAAATCTCACGGACTTCCAGATGTTCAAATGATTTCAAAATTTTCACGTGTGAGAAATCACTGACTACAATTCATATCCAGGTTCTGCATAGGCTATATGCATTTGCAAGACAGAAAACATTTTTCATATAATTATATAAAAATAATTATTAGCATGATCTTTTTGACGTTTTCTAGCATAATTAATCGAAAACGGACCTGGCCGATTTTAAATAGCCGATCAAACGATTCGCAATTAACTAATCACGTCTCCAGGCCGCACGCGAACATGCACAGTCATCTATCACAAAGGCATCGGCCGACCCACCCGAGCCAAATAATTCGTGCAACGACCGAATTATTCAATTAATGACCGTTCGATTGTTCTTAGCGCATCTCGGCGGGTGGTCGGCAACCTCACCAGCATCGCTAAACGGGCGACATAACGCACCGTAACGTTGGCTGTTAAAAAAATATATTTTTCTAATAAAACCTCCATGGAACAGGAACGTCAACACGCTCGAAATATCGCGGGAAACCAAATAGAAATACTAGTAGTGACTTTCTTCTGCCAACGATTAGTGTTTGAATGAAGAGATCGAATGTGACGCCATGTCATCATAGCAGTTACTGTCTCTACATTTTTTAACCTTCCTTTTCAAAGTCAAAGTCAAAATTTCTTTATTCAACATAGGCTTATTTTAAGCTCTTATTGAACGTCAAAAACTAACACCGGTTCACTAAACTACACCTGCAAGAGTAGAACTGGCTAGAAACTCTGCGGTCATATAATAGTTTAGAATACAATTAAAGTTCTTAAAGGCTTCTTAGACGTGGTGCTGTTTTGATTGATGACAAAGACTAAGATCAATTGAATAAAAAGAGTGAAATATGATGCTATTTTTGAAAGGGATTGATTAGTTTTTAATTAAATTGCGTGAGATTTATTTAACTTGTTACATTATAAATTTTTTTTGCCCACTGAGCTCTCATTGGCTTCGTCATCCTTCGATCCTTAATATTTAAATAAGTGCACTAACAAACCTATCCAATAAGATCAAAATTTGTTAGATTATTAATTTTGATTAAAATTAAATTTATTAAAAAATATTAAACACAACTCAAAAAATATAATTTTTATTTGAGATGTCAACAAAACAAGCAAACGAATACCGAATCATAACGAAAAATTAAGAACAAACGATCTATTAAAATCCAGAAACCTACAAATTGGTCGGCAACGCAATTGCGACTCAACCGATGTTGCAAATGTCCATGGGCTGCGGTGATCATGAATGCTCGTTTGCCTCCTATTCCCATAAAAAAAAATACAAATAATACTAATAAAGAAGCAAATGTATTAGTACTAGTTTATGTAGATGTACTTGACACAAACAACTGAATTTATACTATTAGTCCAGGAGGAATCGGCGCATGAGTACCGAAAACTATTCCACCTCAATTTTTTTATGCGATCCTCTTTAAATTGTCCTGCCCAGATTTTCCCGCTGCACGAATGGGCTCGCCTGATAAAATAGCCAGCGAAATGTAAAGCCTTGAGTTCATATATGGTGTATAATTTAAAGACAGCCGATCCTTTTAAAGGTTGACAACGCATCGGCAAACCCACAAGTTTTGTCAATGGGCAGTAAACACAACATTACCTAAGTAATATCTGCCTAAGTAATAACGACCCATAACTAACTGCCTGTATATTATAATTGTGTCCTAAGGTTTCTTCACGACAAAATTAGTGAGCCATGCGACACGACGTTCCCATACACAAATGATTTAAAAAAGTTAACTTGCGCAAAAAATAACCTACGGCCACTTGCAGCAACATTCCATAGCGATGTAGTCTGCACCATAAACACCCTATTTTATTATCGAAGTGACATTTCCGTGGCCAGCCGTTTTGGACGCCATCTTTTTAAAAGCGTCACAACGCGAGTTTTGTGGCTGTTTTAGATTATTTACGATGTGACAATCGACTTGTTAAATTCTAACGACCTCGGTCCGAAATCGCTGTGAAATGTTTACATATTTAGAACGCACTAAACGTTGTGTTTTAGTGTGTGACTATTTTTTTGTGTTGCAATTACATTGCAACTCTCAATATAGAGGAAAGTCACCCAATATGGAATACCATTTTGTTTCAGGGATATAAAAAAAAAAACTTCATAGAAACTAAAACAGTTTAATGTAATTACTAATCAGTCAGACATTTATATTTAGTAATTAACAGCCTTTAATCAAATATATTAGTTACCAAATTAAAATCTAACACAAAACCAAAATCACAAATGAGTAACCAAATATGGAATAGGTACCCATATATGGAATATAAGCATAAATCATCATATCAATAACAAAAATAGACATAAATATCTATGAGATCAAATAAATTAAAATAACATATTGTTATAAACGAAC